AAGTATAATACAGTGTGCTGAGTGTTAGGCTGAGAGCATAGCCAGGCACTGAGGAGGCAGCTCTCCTTTCCTGGGGTGGGGAGGACGCTTCACGGAGGGGGTGGTTGAGCTGGGCCTTGGAGGATGAGGAGGAACTCTCCACGGAGAGGAGGGGGAAGGTCTCCCAGGCAGGGGGACAGCATAAGCTAAGCTCCCAGGCTTTCCGAGTGGCCCACCACAGATTCAAAGCTAGGGACGTTCTGTGTCCTAAAAGTAAATAGACAAGTAAAGAGACTAACGACTGAGAGACACATAAAGGCACCGCAGCTGCGTGAAAGGACAAGGTTGAGCTGGGTGGCCCCAGCGTAATAAGGGCCAAACAGAGACTCCTAAAGAGAAACGGTCTCCTGTCCAGTGGCCTTACTGGTCCTACTTTCTTCCCCATATCACATCTTTGGATTCTGAAAAGGAAGCCTTACTTTGATTTTTACAGGATTCCCCTTACAGTGGTTTTCAAAGAAATGTAACCATAATGGAAGTATGTGCCAGCATCAGGTGGATCCTGCCCTGCTCATGAGATCATCGCGCCCAGCCCGTGCAGGGGGTGAGCTGAGCGCCTGGTGATGGCCGACAGGGAAACTCTTTTATCATCCCGGCTCAGCTCCCCACGTCAGGATTCCAAAGAGAGGTCTGAAAAACGTTACTTTGCTTTCCTTGGATAGGCAAACTCGGAGGCCACGCTCTAGCTTCCTGCACTGGACTCCGTGAAGGCAGGGCTCTGATGGCCTTTCCTCTTCACATAGGGGCCACACTTCCACTTTTTAGAAGGAAGGGATGCTCATCTCTCTATCTGTTTTGAAATGGACAGACTGTCCCTTCCTTTTGTCCCAGGAGGCTCTGGACTGGCTCACTCTGTCTTCGTGGAATCCTGTCTGCAGCCCTCTCCCCTTGCCCAGAAGTGGAGTGAGGTGCTTGGATTTCCCTAGTGGAAGATAGGTCTCTTCTCCTACAGTCCTTTAGCCTAAGACTTTGTCCCACTGTATATAGTGGGTACACATATTGGTTTTTAATGGATTCAAAGACCTACCATTTTAAAGGAAAAAGAGGCTTCTGATGTGTGAACCCTAAAGATCCACCAGTCCCTGGAGTGTTGCTCTTTGGGGTCTTATTTTCAATAGTGCAGAGCTATTCTTCTGTGTGTATGTGTGATAAAATAGTCATAACAGAAAATGTACCATTTTAACCACTTTTAGGTGTACAGTTCAGTGGCGTTAAGCACATTGACGTTGTCGTGCAGCCATCACCACCATCCACCTCCAGAACTGCAAAAACTGAAACTGCCCCTTTAGCGATCACTCCCGCTTCCCCCAGCCCCTGGCAACCACCATTCTACTTTCTGTCTCTATGGGATTGACTACTCTAGGTTCCTCACATAAGTGACACCGTACAGTATTTGTCCTTTTGTGCCTGGCTTATTTCACTGAGCACAGTGTCCTCACGGTTCACCCGTTTGTAGCATGTGTCAGGACTTCCTTTTTATGACTGAGTAATATCCCACTGTGCGGCTAGGCCACCTTGTTTATCCATTCGCCTATCAGTGGACACTTCGGTTGCTTCCACCTTTTGGCTGTATTGAATAATGCTGCTATGAACACGGGTGTACAAAGTCTGCGTAAGTTTTTCGGGGATATATGCCCAGAAGTGAAATTGCTGGATCATACGGTGACTCTATGCTTAATGTTTTGAGGAACTGCTATAATGTTTTCCACTGCAGCTGCCCCGGTTTACATTGCCATCAGCAGTACACAGGGTTGCAGTTGCTCCACATCCTTTCCGACACTTGTTATTTTCTGTTTTCCAGCTTTTTTTTTTTTTTTTCCTTTTTGTCTCTTTTTTCGTGTCCGGCAACGGATCACAACCCTCAGTGTCATGCCCGTACCGGACCGGGACCGGCAACGGGATCGCAACCCTCGGTGTTGCGCCCGCACCTCACTCAGCCAGTGAGCGGGAACCAGTCTGTATGTGGGATCCGAACCCTCGGCGGGAGCGCCACCACACTCCCAAGTGGCGCCCTGTAGCAGTGCGCCCCCCGGCCCGCCCCCATTTTTTTTTTTTTTTTTCCAGCTTTTGATAATAGCCGTCCTAATGGGTGTGAGGTCATATCTCACTGTGGTTTTGATTTGCATTTCCCTGATGATTATTGATGTTCAGCATCTTTTCATGTGCTTGTTAGCCATTTGTAAAGTATATCTTCTTTGGAGAAGTGTTTATTCAATCAGCTATTCTCGATGTTCATTTAACCTTAGTATGTATCACACAGTGGATCTAGGTGGGCAGGTGGGGTAAGAGGGTTGCCAGTGGGATTTGACTCATTTTCTAGGCTAGTCCTGGAGATCCCAACCCCTAGAGACAGCTAAGCTATTACCGAAATTCTTATTTGACTCATTATTTACTTTTAAATTATCTTAAAGAAGAATTGGTATATAATTTGAGACAAAGTATGCTTTGCTTTGACAAGAGGCTGGCTTGCTGAGAATTGTGTGATCATTGTTTGAGCAGCCAGCTCCAACAGGGCAGAGCACAGTACTTCTTTCACCTCCTACAGCCCCCTGTGGCAAGCACGGAGGGGAATAGGCTCTAAAACTTCGTGCTTTTGCTAGTAGTGCAGGGGTACCTGTGGAATTGGCAGCTGTGCTATTTGGGCTTGGAGACCACAAAGGATATTTGTATTGGTTTCCTGCATCTGCTATAACAAATGACCACGAATTGGGTGCCTTAAAACAACAGAAGTCTACTCTCTCACAGTTCTGGAGACCAGAAGTCTGAAATCAAGGTGTGGGCAGGGCTGCACTTCCTCTGAAGGCTCCAGGAGAGGATCCTTCCTGCCTCTTCCAGATTCTGGTGGCTCCAGGCATTCCTTGGCTTGTGGCCACATCACTCCAATCTCTGCCTCCATCTTCACATGGCTTCTCCTCTGTGTGTCTCTCCTCTTCTGTCTCTTACAAGGACACTTGTCATTGGATTTGGGGCCCACCAGAATAATCTCCCCATCTCAAGATCCTTAGCTTTATTACAATTGCGAAGACCCTTTTTCCATACAAGGGCACATTGAAAGGTTCTAGGGATTAGGTCTGGCCAGTTAGCTCACTTGGGAGAGTATGGTGCTGGTAACACCAACGTCATAGGTTCAGATCCCTGTACTGGCTAGCCACCAAAAGAAAAAAAAAAAAAAAGGAAGAGGACTGATCTTTTGGGGGGCCACCATTCAGCTCACTGCAATACTCGAGAACTGTTTTCACATGTCAAAGTGAAGCTAGCCCTGGTGGAGACCCCCTGTCGGCAGAGGTAAGTGATGGCCTTGGCAGGTCAGAGGCCAGATGGGAGGGACCTCCTTGTCCCCATGGATGCCGTCTGCCTTCTCATTTGCTCACATTTCCCTGAGTGTCTGGGGAAACTGAGTAAGGCGGCAGGAATGGATGTTCATGACTGTAGCACCACCAGCCAAATAACAGAGCCATTTGCCCAGGGAGGCTCCTGTGTCTTAGATGGCAGTATGTGTGTGTGTGTGCTGTGGAGAGCAGGAAGGGCCCCACAATAGTGCCCACTTTGTGCTGGCACTGAGCTTTGTGCCCAAGATGTAGCAGTGAGCAAGACAGACGGAACTCACACTCTGTGTGCGAGGTGCCAAAGTCCTCATTCTGCAGCTACTTTGGTCCTGACACACATTGGGCCAGAGGAGTCCAATCTCTGCCACACCTGGTTAGGGTGAACAGATGACGGGGTTTCTGCTGATGTGAAGGGGACTGTGAGCTAAAGAGAGGGATGGGGCAAGCACAAAACTACAGGTTGACTTTGCTTATTCATTGTATGCATTCTAAAAAGGGCCACGAAAAGTCAAGTTTTGAAATATATTTTCCTGATACATTCTATTATGAGTTCAGAAAAATGTTCTCCCAAAATGGCCCCATCAGATATTGAGGGTCCTTACCATTTCAGTGCCATATTGGCCTTCAATACATCCACAAAATCAGTTCCTACAGGGACACATGCCCATTTTTTAAAAGTGGGGAGTGTAAAACTCGAGGTGAGGGATTGGATCAGAGCAACCACGGCTCTCGAGACCTCGGTACTGGCTGCCTGCCTCACCAAACGGTGTTCTCTGAATCTAGCCTTTCACGAAGAGTTAGACTCTTTTCTTTGTCATGGGTTTTGCCATCTCCAGATGTTAGAGAATCCACGACCGAGGAAATTGGCCACTACCAAGGAAACAGATCCGAGACCAAGTACCTCACAATTAAATGGCTTCTTTGTGTTTGCAGTCCAGTATCGTGGGCTGTCACAAAAGCTGTACTCCTGTTTGGTAATGTCACTACGGTCTCCCAATTGTGAAGCTCTCAGTCCCCACCATATTCTGACCACTCCCCGAGGGTTTGTGATGGCCCCAGATACTCCGAGTTCTTCCACGCACAGTCAGCATGGCCTTTACTTAAGCACACAGGGGAGCTCCACCTCCCAACACACTGCCCGCCCCCTGGCCCAGCAGCCTGTGGCCCAACGTCACGGGGAAGAGCACTCACGTCCATTTCCTTGATGGGGAAACTGAGCTGCAGCCAAGAGAAGTGACCAGAGCAGACTGACACAGTTTATGATAGGGCCAGGACTGGACCCAGTCTACTGAGCACCATAAGAGAAGTCGAGAATAATGGAAGCTCGTGAGTGATGTGGAAAAAGCTGCAATTCAAAAGATGCTCTTTTGTCATAACTGGCGAATGAGGTTATTTAACTGGCTTCCCATTCTGCCTGTGATCCAAGTCTGTGGTGAGTTATGGGCCCAGTTAGGCAGCCTGCATCACAGCAACGTTATGCTGAGTGCTTCAGCGAACAGCTACAGCTGTGGTTCAGCTATTTGTGATGGCTCACTGGGGGGTGGCATCCACCCAAACACTAACAGCTAAAGCTAATATCTTGGTTTATAGAGCATTAACGTCTGTCTCTAAATATGTCTTGCAGAAAAGTTGATTGCAGATAGGACCATTTTTGGAGCCAAAATGGAAGGAGCAGTCAGTGAGCCAATGAGAGACCAGGTGGCACGGCCGCATTTGACAGAGGACATTCCCAAAGTGAGTACTGACATAAAAAAGGTTAGTCATTGGTTAGAGCATGGTGCTGATAACACGAAAGTCAAGGATTCGGATTCCTATACCAGCCAGCCACCAAAAAAAAAAAGGTAACCAAAATCAAACAAGGTAAAAGTCGAGCACACACATACCAGCAAGCCCCTGATATTTACCTGTGGGTTAAAAATTGTGTTTAATATATTTATTAAATCAATCCATGTTGGGTGTTTTTTTTTACATATAAGATAAATATCTTTATTTAAGATTATCAGTTACCTATTGCGGTTTTACAAACAATATCAGAACATGGTGATTTACAAGAACAACCTTTTTTTTTTTTAAATTATCATTATACAGTGTAGTTGATTTTCATGGCCCTTTACCAAATCTTCCCTTTCCCCCCTAAGAACAGCCATTTCTTTGCCCATGGCTCTGCAGTTTGGGCTTGGCCCAGCTGGAGTTCCTTGGCTGGTCTCTCCTGGGCTCAGTTATGCAGCTGCAGACACATGCAGACCCCCTGAGTTGTCTGTTCTCAGGTGGCTTCACTCATGCCTCTTGTAGTAACTGTCAGCTGGGCACCTTGGTTTGCCTCCGTGTGGCCTCCAGCAGGTTAGACTGGGCTTCCTGGTGGAATGGCAAGAGACTTCTCAGAGGGCAGCAGCGGCAGTTTCAGGCCTCCTGAAATCTAATCACAAGTCTCAGGAGGGATTTGAAAGAATTGTCAAGCCCAGGCCTCCTGGAGATTCTTCATGTAGGTTTGCAAAGATTTGGTTTGATTCACTCTTAATGAATGTTACACTTCAAAAATGTAATCACACCAAGGTAAAATGTGTGTAGATCAAATCTTAAATTAAAGTTCCCCAAGAGGTTCCCATGGGCTGTCAGATCACCCTTGTTTGGTGTCGAGCTCAGAGCAAAGCTTCCTCTGGGCCTGTGTGGTTGAAGCCACTTGCTCTCTGTAGTTCCTTGTTTGTGTAAATTAGGATTTTATTGCTACTTGGCAGCAAGGGAAAAAAATCTTGATTCCAATGGTTATAGCAAAGTGCCATTGTCATCTAGTTTCATATTTTGATATTCTTCAAATGACCCTCTTTTTTGGTCATTGGTTAACTCGATAGGGAGTGAAATTTCTAAATTTAAACTACTAAAATAAAAAGAATACTTTTGTCTTAACTTATATATACATCCTACGTAAGACCTCTCTGGACAAAAGGTTCCCACTACTAAAGACAAAGCAAAACAGAAAAGGTTGGAAAAAACCCAGTGGCCTAGACCATTATCTTATCTCAAGATTATATCGCAATTAATTAGTTTGTCTAGGTGGCTTTCTTTACTATCGTTAACACTGTCTCTAAGATGTGATTTTGTAAGTCCCCTCAGTAACCCGTTCTTGAGTCTTGCTATGTGTTTCCAGACGGGAGTTTGATTCTTAATTGTTAGTACCTATTCGTTCTTACCTGCTACAGCCATGAAAAGGAAGCGGTTGTTTTACTTGATGTCCTCAAGCCACACAGCATTGTAGATGTGATTAACAACATTGTCCCATCACACATTTGACTTCTCTGGCTGATTCCTATCACGATAAAGAACAGCCATTGGCCCACTAATCCCAGGCAATATTGGTGCAAAATTTCAGTATAATAAAAGAATCCATGTCATCCTATCCAAGAGTAGAATACTGAGTAGTCACATTTAAAATTGTGAAATTAAATTTCACTGGATATAATAGCTAGGTTATTTGTTTTTGGAAAAATTTTGACTATCAATGTTTTGAAGTACCAGATAATATAAATGAGGGAATCTGAAATCCTTCAGGATGCTGTCAAAGCATGTCTAGTTCTGACACCGTGTGGGCTCGACCAAACTTAGTAAATCAAGAAAAACCAGGTTGGGAAATAGGGAGGCTCGGAATTATTCTCTATGGCTGCAGTCTGCCGGTACAGCTGCCTGGGTGGAGGGGGAAAGGAAGGGATTGCTGGAAAAGGCATTGAGGGAAGTTTTATATTAATTTGGCTGTGACCTGAGGAAATATTATAAATTTCAGGCAAGGTGCAAATTATTTAGCATGGTATGATTGCATGTATACAGAAATAGTCAGAACAGAGCATAGAAAAGAATGGGTTGAAAAGTTAGTTTTGCAGGGGGTGGGGGGAACGGTGAAGCTGATTACACCAGTAGATTACGCGGGAGCAAGTGACACAAAAGTTACAGCGCCGTGTCAGGTGGGCCTGGGGGAGTTCGGGCCAAGTTTCAGATGAGACACCCAGAACGAGAGGGAGGCGGATCTGTAGAAGGCGTCTGGCCCTGACATCCCTTGAGTCTCTTCTATAGCTCAGTTGTGTCAGTGTTTACGGAATACGTAGGGAGGTTTGTTTGTTTGTGTGTTTTTTCATCAGGAGCAGAATTTATTTAAGATCTTTAGTTTCACATACCCAACTTTGATTTACTACATGTGAGCAAAGGAAAATGGGCGTTTGTCATCTTAAGTTAGCCCAGATACTATTTTAGAAGGTCCCTAGGGAGGAGGCATACCACAGGTCCTCCTGTGGGAACACTCGTAGCCAGCTTATTTAGCATGCGGCCGCCACAATCTCGCACTGACATCGTGGAGTCCAAATATTTAAGCACCTGCATGTGGCACCCTGTCCTGCCCTTATCCTCAATTGCCCAAGTTGGAATTTAGCCAAGAATGTGTGCACATTGTGGAGGCCGAAATATAAATGCCACAGCTCTCCCCTGATTCTTCAGCTCCTCAGAGTTCAGGGAAGGGGAAGCAGAGCCTTGGGCCTGGGCAGTGAGCAGCTCACCAGTTCCCCTACCAGGTGATCCCATCAAGGTGGCCTTAGATCGCTAGGCTGAGGCGAGATGGGGGTAGGTGACAAGCTCAAGGCCACAGGCCCCCAGCCTGTCATGGTCAGGGAGGAGAAGGGACTGACTTGGTCCTGTGAGTGTGGAGACTGTGCTTTCTTCCTTCTGATGTCGTAAGTGCAAACTATCAGATGGCTGGCTGTGTGCGTGTGTGTGCGTGTATTAGAGAAGTGTCCAGGAATAAAGATATCAGGAGCAAGAAGGTATCAGTTTTGTTTTTGTTTTTAGATTGTCCAGTTTTGATCATAGGTGGATTAATTTCCTTTCACGAAGTACAAAGCATGGATCTTGTCATCAAAGCCAGCCAAAGGCTATCTCAATATCATTTGCTACCTCTCTTGCCTCCTTCTGATCCTAGGAGAGGAAGGTGTACTGGTGATAGAATAGCAGAATGATAAAGCTTCCAACTTGGCTCAAGAAAAATTTCAAACAAACAAATGTACCTGCTACTGCCGTGGCTCATGACATGTAAGTCTGGCCTCTTTCTAGCTTCTGGTTCTCACCACTCTGGTCCTCCCCACCACCCCTCTTTCCACAGGCAAAGAAATGCACAGTGATCGGAGGCTCTGGATTCCTGGGGCAGCACATAGTGGAGCAGTTGCTGGCAAGAGGCTACGCCGTCAATGTATTCGATATCCAGCAAGGGTTTGACAATCCCCAGGTGCACTTCTTTCTGGGTGACCTCTGTAACCGGCAGGTAATGGACCACAAGGCCCCACACAGCAGCTGCCGTCCTTCCCTGCTCAGAGGCCAGCCAAACTGTTGTTTGAAAAAGTGTGTTTTATTTTCAAAAATTTTTAAATTACAGGAAAGAATTTAGCACGCCCCGCATGTTTACCACCCAGAATGAATAAGCGTTGTCTCTGTCACAACTCAGCTCTGCGTGGTAGGGCAAAAGCAGGGTGGTCAACACTTGAACTGGACCAAGAACGTTTTACCAAGACAGTTGTCCATGGGCTGTCATATGCCAACTTGTACACCCTAAAGTACAAGTACTGAGCCCCAGGGTGTTCACTTTTGTAATTGAGATGTAATTTGCATAACATAAAACCTTTTAAAGTGTACAATTAAGCACTTTTTAGTCTATCCACAAAGTTGTGTGATCATCCCCCACTATCTAATTCCAGAACATTTTCATCCCCCCAAAAGGGATCCTGTCCCCAGTCACTCCCCACCTGCTCTCTTCCGTCCCCGCCCTGACAGCTCAGCTGCTTTCTGCCTCTGTGGACATCAGCAGTGTGTTGGAATCCCCACTGCCGCACATCCTTACCACACTGGGCATAATTAGACTTTTCAGCCTTGCCATTCTGAAGAGTGTGACATTGTGTCTTGGTGAAGTTCAGGGTCATGTGTCCTTGATCAGGCGTCCAGCCACTGTGCCCTTTGTTGGTCAACATTCAGGTTTCCTCCGGAGTAAAGTGCTTGTCTGTGATCTTTGCCCGTGTGTCTCTGGGGTCACCTTCTCTTCATTACTGATCTCTTTGTTATGGTTATCCTTTGCATGTTGTCCATACTGTGGGTGGCTTCCCTCAGCCTGTCACAAGACTCTTATTCTTGGCTTTAGTGTCATTTGCCATACAGTTGTTTTGTTTTTTTTTTAATTTGAATTCTAAGGCCATTGCTTCCCCTGCAAAGTCACACCTCTGGGCCTAGAAATGGGGTGGAAGCCTTCTTCCTTGCTTGTCATGCCTCTTTTAAACTGTTCTCCCTTACTCTAAACTAATCCCTTTGAACTTTGAAGATGATCCATCAGATTGTACAGACCCTGACACCCTTCCGTGTGGCAGCCTCCACAGCTACCTGCACCCCTTCCCAGGTGACTCCACTTCATTCATTCTTTAGTGATTTTAGCTCCTGACTGATGCCAGCCTCATCGACAACCTTTCTGGCATTATGGCTGGTGAATGCAGGATTCACGTAGATGACCCTACCAACACCCTCCCCTCTCTTTTCCTTGGCCTCTTCTTACCCAATGGTCTTGTTCTCCACTGCTCTTGTCATCTCCTAGGCCTGGACCTTGTCATCACCAGTAAACGGGTCCTCTCCATCTGAGTTGCCAGCATTCTGCTCTGAGCACCACCTGCTCTCCATCAGTCAGGGTTCTCCAGAGAAACAACCAGGAGGGGAAGTGTCTGTGTGGAGAGGGAGAAGAAAGGGAGGGAGAGTGAGAGAGAGATTGAGATTTCATTCGAGGAATTGGTTTACATGATTGTAGGGGCTGGCTGGGCAAGTCTGGAATTTGTAGGGCAGATTGGAAACTCAAGCAGGAGTTGGTGCTGCAGTCTTGAGTTAGAATTTCATCTTACAGAGACCTCAGTTTTGCTCTTAAGGCCTTTCAACTGATCAGATGCAGCTCCCCCAGATTATCCAAGATAATCTTCTTTACCACAAAATGCCTCCACACCAACACCTAGACTAATATTTGATGGAACCACTGGGGACTAGAGCCTGGCCAAGGTGACACAAAAAAGTCCTCATCATGTCGTACTTGACATTCTAACCCCAGTCCTGGTTAAATCCAGTTCTGTCTCTTCCCTGTGGATCTCTTGGCAGCTGAACAGGACTGGAGAAGACCATGCAAGCTGCTGCTTGCTTTCTCCCGGCCACACCACCCAGCACACATCTGCAGACCTGCCTGTGTCCGCACCTGCACTCTGCCTCCCCCGCTCCTCCTGAGGGTGGCTTGTTCCTCCAAAAGCTCCCATCTCAGTACCAGCTGGAACCCATCTCCTCTCCCCAGCTCAGTGATTCCACTAGGAAATTCTCTCTCCTGCATCAGCAACATACTCTTCTTTGGGGGATCATAGCCATCAGCACACAGACATAATGCAGTGTCACCAAGCTCAAGAAAGCCACAACCCGCTCCAGCTGCTGCCCTTTACAGCAGAGCTCAAAGGCCATTTGCACTTGCTGCCTCTGCTTCCTTCCTTCCATTGCCTCCTGGAATCTCTGCAGTTAGGTCTTCACCAAACAACGTCTGCCACAGCTGCCTGAGAGCCTGGTTGAGTGTCAGTCCTCATCCAACTTGACCCTTTAGCAGCTTGCCTTCTAGGGTGCCACCCTCACTCTGCCTTGTCTCCATACAGTAATTTCTAAACTCTGCAGGCCCCAGGGCTTATTCTTTGGGTCTGTTTTCTTCTCCGAGTACAGTCAGTTTCCCAATGGATTCATCCCATCTGGTGGATTAAATACTATCTACAAGCTGCCAAGCTCCACCTTGACATCTTACCCACAGCTCTTCTGGTCTTCTGTATGTCCAACTGCCTGGGGGATATCTCTACTTGCATATCTAACAGACATTTCAAGCTTGCCACATCCAAATTGAGCCCCTGGGTCCCTAATGCAAGCCCCTTCCCCATCACAGCAAAACCCCTCCTGCTGAAGTCTTCACCATCTCTACAAATGGCCCACTCTGTCTTATCAGTTGTATTGGCCAAAAACCTCAAGTTCATCCTTGATTGCTTTTTCTCTCATACCCTCTATCCCATTCATTAGCAAATCTTGTTGATTCAACTATCCAAAGAGATCCCTAAGCCAACTACTTTTTCATTGCTACACTCTGATTCAAGCCACCATCACCTCTCACCTAGTGTTAAGAGGGACCCTTTTAATGCATAAATCAGATCACATCACTCCTTTGTACAGAAGCCTCCAGTGACATCTGGTCCCATTTACAGCAAATGACATGGGACTGTGTGATCATCCATGAGACCTGCATGGTGTGCCCCAACTGCCTCTCTGGCCTCCCCTCCCTCCCTCCCTCCTTCCCCTCGCTGCTCTGCTCCAGGCGCACCAGCCATCTTCTTGCTGCTCACGCTCACCAACCAAGTTCTGCCTCAAAACTTTTGCACTTGCTACTCTTTCTGCCAGGAATGCTCTTAGTGTGCCCCAGAGCTTGCTTCCTAACTTCCTGTAGGTCTCTGAGCACCCTATGCTGAGCAGCAAGCCCCTCATGTCCCTCACTCTGCTTTATGTTTCTGCATAACACTTGGCAGTACTGATATACTCTCTATTTACTTATTTGTTTGTCTGCCCCCTCCACCATAGAACACAAGCTCCACAAAGGCAGGAATTTTGTCTCTTTTGATCACTGCTTTGTCCCCTCAAAGGAGATGTGGGTCCTTAGCAAGCTTGAACCTCTCTCCAAAATGCTCCCCCAACTGCCATGTTGTTGCTAGGACATTATTTCCAGCTTTCCTTGAATGCGAATTTAAAGGGAGAGCCTCCAGCACCATGCATTGTCCTCCAGCTATGCTCAGCTGCTCAGGTGCAGGCATGGAGAAGGGGCAAGTTGCATTTAACCAGAGCTGGAGTGTGCCAGGCAAATTTGATAAGGGGAGGGAGGGCCAAGGCAAAGGTTGTAACAGTGGATCACGAAGCCTCAGCTAAGAAGGGCAGGGTGGATATGACGTGGGGAAAGGACACAGCAGGGAAGGACTTTGAGAATGTGTTTACATGGTCAGTAGTTCAATATATATGTTACATTACCCTTTTTTTTTTTTTTTTTTTTTTTTACCGGTAAGGGGATCGCAACCCTTGGCATGGTGTTGTCAGCACCACGCTCAGCCAGTGAGCACACCGGCCATCCCTATATGGGATCCGAACCAGCGGCCTCTGCGCTCCCAGTGCCGCACTCTCCCAAGTGAGCCACGGGGCTGGCCCTATATTACAGCTCTTTTAAAAATAACCCCACTGTCTTGTTGCTCACAACAAACCTACTCTCATCAGATCGTTATTTCTTTGTAGGTCATCTGGCTTTTCCTCTCATGGTTTTTAGGATTTTCTTTTTTGTTCTTTATAATCTGTAGAGAATATATCAAGGCCTGAGTTTTAGTTGTGATTTTAAATCTTACTCAACATCTAGTGGGACTTTGCAGTCTGAAGACTCATGTCTTTCCTCATTTCTGGAAAATTCTTCAAATATTGACTCTATCCCCATTCTCTCTTTTCTCTTTCTGGAAGCCATGTTGGACATACGGTGGAGTCTTTCATTATATTCTTCATATCTCTTAGCCTTTCTTTCATGCATTCCTTCTCTCTCTGCAATTTTTCAGACTTCTTCTGTTCTGGCCAATCAAGGTTCATCTGTATCCTCAAGATTATTTTGAAACCAATCCTGGATACCATATCATTTCATCTATAAATACTTTAGTATTTGTCTCTAATAGATAAGAATCCTTAACACACATACACATACAATTCCATGATCACATTTTAAAAGCATTGACAATAGTTCCTTAACATCCAGCCGGTGTTCAAATATCTCTGAATGTCTCATAAATGTTTTTAAAAAAGGAACCAAGCAAGGTCAAGACTATTAGTTGAAATGCTTGTCTCCTTTAATTTATAAGTTTTCCTTCATCCTTTTAAGCTTCAGTCTATTTGCTGAATAACTGGTATTTTGTAGAACACATGTTTATTGTTCTGGAGTATTTCCCATGGTCTGGATGTTGCTGATTGCATACCCATGGTGTTGTTTAACATGCCCCTCAGTCCCCTGGTAGTTTGGGTAAACTGGCAAATCTGAAAAAGTGCCATTGAGTAAGGCAGCCATTAGCCACATGTGGCTATGGTAACACTTAAAATGTGGCAAGTCTGGGGCTGAGCCCGTGGCGCACTCGGGAGAGTGCAGCGCTGGGAGCGCAGCAGTGCTCCCGCCGCGGGTTCGGATCCTATATAGGGATGGCCGGTGCGCTCACTGGCTGAGCGCAGTGCAGCCGGTCTCAAAAAGGACAAAAAAAAAAAAAAAAAAGTGGCAAGTCTGAATTGAGAGGCACTGTAAGAGTAAAATCTACACCAGATTTCAAAGACTGAGTACAGGAAAAAAAGGAATGTAAATATCTCATTAATAGTTTTTATATTGATTACATGTTGAAATGATATTATAGATATATTAAACAAAATATATTAAAATTGATTTCACCAGTTTTTTTTTTTGTTTGTTTGTTTGTTTTTACTTTTTTAATGTAGCTACTACTACAAAATTTAAAGTCACATCTGTAGCTTATATTATATTTCTATTGGACTAAAGACTTGATCTGAATCTGGGTCAGTTTTTTTCTCTGGGTCATCATGGGTTGATACCACAATAGAAATAAGCATGCCTAGTGCTCAGATTTTGGTTACTATATACCATTACCCACAAACGGACCTAGGACTCCTTGGGAAAACAGCCTATTCTAGGACTATAGGGCATGGGTAGTACAAAATGAGCCTAAAACATTTTCTTAGGAAAGAATTAATGACAACATGTCAGAGGAGCTAATTTGAAGGGCCTCCACTGACCAAATTTGGGACATTTTCAGCATTTCGAGCCTCAAAAAAGATAATAGTTGACTGTAATGCATCGATCAAAAAAGTAATCTGTGCTGTGTTATAACACCACAGTCAAAGGTTCAGATCTCCATACTAGCCAGCTGCCAAAAACCCCAAAAAATAAACAGAAAAGAATCCATGCATCCACGGAATTCTGAAAAGAAAAATTAGGGTAGAGGAAAGGGGCAACTCTACTTTACAGAGGAATGCTACAATTGGAATGTTGCCGTTTTGCTACCAGTACATGGATTAGTGCTCCAGGCAAGGACCCTCAATAAATGCTGAAATCAATCAGTGGAATTATCGCCCTGCAGATTACTTATTAATTGCAAAACGGAAAAGGTACCTTTTTGATGGCAGAATCTGGCAGCCATCACCTTCACCAAGTGATCCAACTTAGCATCACCAACACTGGGACAAACTTGCTTCACCCAGGGTAATGCCCTGAGAAGGACACAACACCACTGATGTGGTATTCGTGCCAAAACTATTAAGCCTGAATCTAATTGTAAGTGAGTAGACTAATCCAAATTGAGAGCAAGTCCATAAAATAACCAGCCTGAACCCTTGAAAAATGGCAGTGTTAGAAAAGACAAAAAAGTAAAGATGGGGAATTGTTGCAGATTAGAAGAGATGGAAGAGACATGAGGACTAATGTGTGATCCATGATTGGATCCTGGACCCCAAAATAAAAACAGCTATAAAGGACATTATTGGGACAATTGGGGAAATTTGAATACAGTCTAATTATTGGATAAGAGCATCGTATCTGTTGAATATCTTGAGTGTGATCATTGTTTTGTGGTTGCTTAGGAGAATGTCTTTGTTCTGAGATGCCTGGTAAAGAGTTTAGGGGCAAAGTGGCATGAGGTCTGCAACTTTCAAATGGTTTCAGACAAACCTCATATGTCCCTGTGTAGAGAGAGAAAAAACTGTGGCAAAATAGTAATTGGTGAATCTAGGCACGTAAGTAATGGGTTATCTTTTTTTTCTTTTGGTGTCAACCATGAATCACACCTAGATCCTATTACTTAATTGAGGTTTGGCAAAATAGTGACATGCTGTCATTCTCTCTTCATTTAGTAGCCCAAATCTCTGTATGGTATGCAGATTAAATGCTTGATTCTTTCCCTTTATCTACCAGTATCAGAAAGACTTCTTATTCTTACTGGTGATCAAACTGTCCTTCTTTGGCCAGTGAGAGACTCTTCATGTTGGCTCTTGGGTCCTTTTAATGTGACCCCAGTAGTCTTCACTAGCTTCCTTACTTTCTGGTATGACAAGGTGATCCTGGTTCATCTTGTACCTTTCCTGCCCCAGATCATGGTCATTTCTCTCAGGAGCTCTGGTTCCCTTTAGCAGTAAATTAAATATACCTGTTTTAAAATCCCTTTTGGGTTGCTGGACTATGTCTAGTTTCACAAGAAGGAATATGCCTGTTAACTGGGTATTTACACTGTCTTTAATGGCATGGCACTTTTTCACGTGATTCATAATTTCTATCTGTGAGCTCACCTTCCCCAAGAGTTTTACCCCCCAAGTGCCTTGAACACCCAGAAGGCTTCTCATGCCCCAAACCCCTTTTTACTGTGGACTAGTTAATGGGGAGAGGGCAAGTAAAGGGACAGCATGGTTTATATCCCATGTACTTCTTCCGTATTGTTTGAATCTTTTACAAGAATGTATTTCCATGTTGACTATAGAATTATAAAAGGGCAAGAGACCTACAAACCCCAGATTGGAGAGTGAGAATGTGAGAAGACTGTTGACCTGTCCAAAGCAGGAGTGATTACTTTGTTTTCATTTGCTTTTCCAGGATCTGTACCCAGCTCTGAAAGGTGTAAACACAGTCTTCCACTGTGCATCGCCCCCGCCATCCAGTAACAACAAGGAACTCTTTTATAGAGTGAATTACCTTGGCATGAAGAATGTCATTGAAACTTGCAAAGAGGCTGGGGTTCAGGTAAGGGGAAAGCTGTAGCGAGTGCCGTCGGGAACGTGTGTGGCTCTTCCTAAGGGTTCTTGCTGCCTTCCTGGGACTAGCCAGGGTTGCTTCTTAAAGTACTGTGAAGATCTTAGAAATTAAGCCCTACAAGTCACTAGGTATTATGCAGGTCTTCTTGCCAAGGCCAGTTTGAATTTTAATTTTCTAACTGCATACAAATGGACCATCTGAGGACCCTGAGGCCTATCTGTCTTTGGTTAAAAGGCTATAAAATTAAGACATTGTTTATATGTTTTGTTATGATAAATATACATAATATAACATTTGCCATTTTAATCATTTTAAATGTTAAAAAATGCCAGTCCAGTGGCATTAAGCATGTTCACAGTGTTGTGCAACCGTCACCACCATCCACCCACAGAACTCATTCATCTTCCCAGACTGACACTCTGTCCCCATGAAACCTAACTCCCCATCCCCGTCCCCAGCCCTGGCACCCACCATTCCACTTTCTGTCTCTATGAATTGGACTACTCTAGGAACCTAGTATAAGTGGAATCACACGGTATTTGTCCTTTTGTGACTGGCTCACTTCACTGAGCACAATGTCTTCAAAGATCATCGATGCTGTAACATGTGTCACAATTTCCTCCCTTTTTAAGGCTGAAAAATACCCCCACTGCATGGATGGACACATTGTGTTTCTCCGATCCTCCCTCAGTGGGTATCTGTGTTAGTTTCACCTTTTGGATATTGTGAATATGCTGCTGTGAACATGAGTGCACAGATCTCTGTTCTAGTTTCTGCTATCAGTTCTGTCGGAGATAGACCCAGAAGTGGGACTGCTGGATCCTACTATAATTCTCTGTTTAAACTTTTGAGAAAGTGCTACACTATTTCCTAAACCTTGCTTATATTTTAAAAGAAAACAAACTGAGTTTACTTTTAGCCAATAAAAACTTGTTATAACTCAGACCTGAGGGGATACGATGCTGCATTGTTATAAAGCCTGTTCTTTATGAGCCCCAGGGTGAAACTGCTCCCTATCAGTGCCACCTGCCACAGGACTGGAGAGGGGGCTTGGGGGTCCTGCCTCGTCCTTGGTACTGATGGCCAGTCCCCAGCTTCACCAGCTGGCCCAGCAAGAACAGGTGGGGAGGGAGCTCTTCTGGGCCCCATGCCCTGGAAAAATCAGTAATGATAGTGACCCCTATGTTTGGCAGCTGACAAGACACTTTGCTCTGTGGCAGTTATCACCTAATTTGCTCCTCGTTAGGTAAACAGGTGCTAAGTGATGTCTCTTTGCTAATTAATGAGAGAGGTGGGATCCAAAGTGGATCCTCTGATGCCAAATCGCAGACTCCACACTCCCCCATGCTTGCGTAACCGGAGCTCCGGGAAGCCCACCCCCCAGGAAGCCCACGGCTGCTGCCTGTTCAAGGGAAGGAGCCAGGCATAAAAAAAGGTGGGAGGGCCGGCCCGGTGGCGCACCTGATAGTGCGCTGCTTGGGAAGCGCGGCGGCGCTCCCGTCCGAGGGTTCGGATCCCACATACGGACCGGTTCCCGCTCACTGGCTGAGCGAGGCACGGGAGCAACACCAAGGGTTGCAATCCTGTTGCCGGTCCCCGGTCCGGTACGGGGGCAACACTGAGGGTTGCGATCCGTTGCCGGACACGGAAAAA